AAAATTGGAACGCGGCGGGGTCGGGCTCGCCAAGTTTGGGGGAAACCCACTCAGGCTGGAGGTCGTCGGAGGCACGGCTAGTACTCATGCGGGCCCCCACACGGACACACAACTGAATCCGGGCCCGCTCCGCGTCGATCGTAGTACATCATCGGACTCGGGGTCGTGGCACTGGCCGCTGGCGGCCACATATACAATAGTGCCTGCCGTCTAGATCTCGCCGGTGCCTGCACGCACGCTGAGTCGGAGCGGTGCGGCAGTGCGGAGCGCTGCACTGCAGCTGGTGATCGGCGGGTCCTTCTGTAGAAGTTCACATAGATGCACAGTCTACTACTACTCGGATCTTCGAGTGCACTGGTGTTGGAGGCTATGATCCTAGTACTACACGCTCGCGCGTAGTATGAGGTAGTACGTTAATCGTTCGACGAGTCTGCCGCGACATTGCAGTCTACACGCGCGCTTAGCCACTTCCCGATCGAACTTCAATTCAAATGACGTCGATCGCGTCCGCGGCCAGCGCGCGGGACCGGTGCTCGAGTCGCGCGCAGGCCCAATTGGTATACTCGGATATCCGGACACGCGTCGACGGGCGCGTACGGATGTCGAGGCGTGTAACTGCTTTGCACCGCCCCTCAACTTATAGCTCGCCTCCTCCTCTTCGAAGGCGCTGGCCTGGCAGCCTCATCACTGCCACTGGCGGCGGTACTATTAGAACACCGCCGCCCGGGCCCGCGCACGGTACATATAGCGCGCACCGCGCGGCGCACGTCCTTGCGATCACGACCAACTTGTCCTCGAGGAGACCTGCACGTCGCTGGGTGGAGGGTGGAGGATTGCGGTGCGTCCTTTGCTTCCTCCCTGTCATCGCGGCTCATGAGCTAATTGGCTTTGCTCCCTCCGAGTCCGTAGGTTCTTGTCCCAGGAAGGCTCGAGGCTCTGCCGCTTGTCTCCTCTTGACTCGCTGAACGCTCTTTCCGCCGCTCAGGATGTAGGATGCTCGCCTTCTGTCACTGCTCTGATTGTCCAAGCGGCCTTCGTTTCTGGCCAATTGATGCTCGCTCTGCTGTGGTTCGGGCCTGCGTCGCTTGCGCTTCTGCCTCTGCCACAAGTCGACACTCGTTTGAAGAGAACCGATGGAGATCCGCGCTTCGAGACAACAAGGCTATTGCCCCTCCGCTTTGGGGGAAGTTCTCAAGCGTTGCGATTGAAAGTCGTTCCTTCGAAGACCTGCCAAAGAGCTTCTCCTCCTCGTGGCGATCGCGAATCCCACCCTCAACGACATCGATTCTCGCGGACACCCCCACAGGAAGGAACAAGCTCGTCACTCTCTACCGCGCATCCCCTCAGCCTCGAGGGGTTTGCCGCCGCCGCCAGACGGTCGTTGGGATTACCCGGACGGCACTGGTACTCAACACAAACTCGGAAGCAACCCCCATGCTTCTCTTCGGACACCCCTGAAACTGAGGCTGTCGTACAGCGCCGCACGCAGCCAAGCTTCCATCGGCCATGACCGCCGCTGGTATATGCTACCTCAGGCTCATGCGATCTGCGTGCGGTTCCCATGCATCAACGTCAACGTCAACAACACCTCCCATCTGGCCAACCAATCAGCGCCGGGACGTGATCCCACCGCCGCGACCGTACGTCCACCAAACAGTGACCGTAGCCGGACCTCCCCAACGACGACCGCAACGTTAACGTTAACGGCAAGGCATGATCATCCTGGCGAGGCTGGCGTAATCTCCCGTTGCGCCCACAGCTGCAGACTGCCAACGGGTTGCCCGCCCGGCGCGGTTCGGCACGCAAGAAGTTGGCAACCCGCACACCGTCACCTGCAAGTGCGTTCGTGACCCGTTTTTACGTCTCAAGTGACGACGCCGGACGCGGGTGGTTGGAGTGTCGGTCAGGCATCTAGGTCGATATGATGCTCTGGCTTTTACTACATCCTACCAGCTCCGGCGTACGGTGCCTGCGATCGCAGAGTCGCAGGTTCGCGGCCGTCGCCACTCTTCGCGGAAGCAGACCACAACGGCACCGGGAGTCCGAGGGGCGAGTTTTGCTCAACTGATGCCAGTGCCAGATGGCGATGGCACCATTGTGCGCCGCGCAGAAGCTTTGACCCAGCAGCGGCGTCAAACGTGGTTTGCCAATTTACGATGGGCAACTGTCAACGCACAAGACTACGGGTTGGGCCCGCGACGGTGGGCGCCAGCTAGTTGCCCCCTTTAGGCTTCACCGTCGCCGCTTGAACGATGAATGCCGAAGGGAAGCTTGCCCTGAAAGGCTTGGTAGGGACGGCGACGCCACGAAGCCCTCCCTCCAGCTGTCAGCTGGATCCCAGGTCCGCGAATGATGTGGTCTTCCTCCGAGGCCGGAGTCGACGTTATGATGCCGGACGCCAGCTGATGCCAGATGACCCATATTAGGCGTCGACGCGCCGTTGCTCACCACCGATGCCGCCGCGTCAGATCTAGAGGAGGCTACCGCCAGCTGAAGAAAATCGTCGTCATGCACGTCAAATACCGTCCAGTGGTTGGTCGAAGCAAGAAGAGGTGCAGGTGGAGCTCAAGAATCCGGGAAACACGCAGGCACGCTCAGGCACGCCTCCGAGCCGTGCGGAGACGGCTCGTGAAATGCAAGTGGCGAGTTTCCCGCCGGGCTTGGGAGCGTGCCTGAGATCCAGGGACGGGATCTCGGAGGCTTCGGCCTTGCGGCTGCCTTCTCCTTCAGGCTTCATCCTTGCTCGCAAGGCACCACTGGGTCAGTGGTACCGTACGTGGCCAGAGGCTTTCAGCGCGACCTGTATATTGCTCCAAAGCCTGGCTTACTTACTGACAGGAACAGTGGAAAAAAGCCTCTTTTCGAACGGCCTGCTATAGGCCCGGGATAACTTCCCACTCTCCGCCGCCCAGTGATTCACGCACCCGCAGATCGTACCCGTTCCCTCCGGAGGTGTTCTTCCCAGACCTGCCACTATCCTCAGCCCCTTCTCAGGCCGAGAGAGATCATTGGAACACGCAATCGCCGCACCAGGAGTCAAACCAATGTCTCGCCGCGGCACGAGCAGTGCTGCGCCGCCGGATCGTCACGTCCTCCTACGGAGCCACGAACGCCGAACCCGCAAGACGACTGCCCGGGTCCCGGGTCTTGCGCACCGCCGCCAGCTTCGAGTCGTGGGCGGCGCCGGGCGAAGGCATCGACGCGCGCCCGGCTGGCGTTAAATGGGCATTGTGCTTTCCTTTCTCTTTCTTCGTCCCTGAAACTTCTCGCGCCGGAGAACACTCAGGGAACGCCCGTTCCTAACGATCAGCCGTTTTCCCTCCGCGCTGTGACGTGCGAGGGTTCCCATCTGGGCTCGTAAGCGGCACGATTCGCCTTACTCCTGCAAATACCGGTCGCCAGGCCGCGGTCCCTGCCACGCGGTCCCCAGCAAGCCACATCGGGGTACCTCCCGGCGCAACATACTCGGTTACGTGCCGAAACGCTGGCCGAAATTGTGGGGATACGATCAAGACCGTTTGTGCAACGCTCAACCGTCATGCGACGATAGCTTGAGAAGACGAATATTTGTGGCTGCGCGCTACGCCACGAAGGCGTTCTGGCTGAATTTGGTATAGCGCGCACGCGGGGATGGTAGCTTTGAACGTGGCTCTTGGAGTTTGGTCTCCACCGCGTAGCCTATTCCCGCCACACTCTATCTCGCCCTTCGGGGTCGCGGAGCATCTCCGCCTTCACCGAGCATACTGAGATTCTGAAGTTGAGCGCTCAGGCTGATCAGCACTTGCCACTGATAGCAGCTGAACAGTAACTTCTCCCGGCATCAGTGCTGGGCCGGTCCTACTCCGGCGTTGAAAGTGCGTTCGCTGGCCTCCAAAAGGCACACATGCAGAATTCCCGGCGATAACCCAACAGCGGAGAACCATGGACTCGGGCAACCGCGGGCCGTTTCATCTCCAGACTCCTCGACAGCCTGTTGGTAACGGGCCACGGCCGCCGCATCGGCCAGACCAGAGGCCTCAGCCAGCGTGCCTGAGACTGACTGCTCGCTTTGTCTTTATCTGGCGGCGGGACCAAGGTACGCCAGACCAGGTCTACCCGTTTTCATTTGGACGGATGTCCGCTGACCCGCCGAACGATGGATCCGTTACACAGGCCGCCCGACAGTTATTACTTTGTGAAGGCATTGTGGTGCCATGATCCGCATAGTCCTTCGCACGCTCATCAGCATCAAGCGAGGCCTGGATACAGCATGCCATGTCCTTGAGAGCCTGAGGGCCCGCGCCGAAAGTGCACCAAGCGCTACCTGTCTGGCAACATTTCACTCCACGAGCCTGAGCGACTGTGGCCACCAGGACAACGAAGGGGGGGTGCGCAACAACGTGAAACATCTTTCAGGAATCAATGTCTGCTATCGCCGCCGTACGTTGGTGCGTGTGGGCGCTGCCAGGTGGCTGCCATCGCATCCCGCGTCGATTGTGTTCGCTTGCGCTCGAGGGGGGGAGGGGGGCAAGCCGCAACGTGGATTCTGAACTTCAAGGAAGAAGCTCAGCCCCTGCCACGCGGCATCGTCTATTCTGTCAATGTCCGAGCAACCAGTGATATCCGTCGCAGAGTACTACGACCTGATGCGCTCACCATCAGCATCTCGACACTGCGGGGACGGCTTCAAGGCTTGTGATTGAACTTTGCGCCTTGTGTTGTGATCCGAGTCTTTCGACGGTACGTGAATCACTGCGGCTGCGGCAATTTCACTATTTAAACGACTTGGCTCGGGTGGCACTCAGTGCGGTCAGTGAGCAGCCTTCGTCATATTCACCGCGAAGACTGGACTGACTCAATAAGAGAGAACTTGCAAACGCGGGTCTTGTGTCAAAGTTGCATGAGGTATATCCGTTCAGCCGGCGAATCTGTCCTCGATGACGCGAAAGCGAAAGGAATCAGTGAGGTCCAATAATTCAAATTCAACACATAATATTAATTTCTGTGGACATAACGATCAAGCCATCGTGGCGCAATGGTAGCGCATCACCTTCCTAACTTGATTGGGAAGTGCCAGGTGGGGGTTGCGGGTTCGATCCCCGTCGGTGGTAGCCGGTTACATTTTTTGTGTTTGCTCAGTTCTAATCCCGAACGACACAACTTTTGAGAGGTGGGGCCGTTGAATACACACTCAACTTTTGCACGCTCTTTGAATGAGTTTCGGTGTCTCAAGCTTATAGGTATCGCGGAGAAATGGCCAATTTCAAACCGTTGTTGCAGAGGTGCACACGGCGAAGTTGATAGTCGGATGTGAGCTGGGTTGCAGGAATGTGCGGCATGATAATATACAGGTAGCGGATGCTTGTGTAGTAGTAGACCTGCTCTAAGCCAAGCCGACGCTGGCTATTAACGATAGCGACCGTAATAGTACGTACGTATTAGCGTCTCTCCCGCCGTTAAACCCCCTCCCCAACGACGAAACAGCGCGACCGGCCGAGCCGACATCGACGCATACGCAGCGTCCACGCGCGGCGCCCATTCTCCACGCAAAAATCGCGGATGTCGCCCGGGGAGACGTTGCCCCACATCCGAAAGGCGGAGGCGGTGGCTAGTGAGTCGGGGAGCTGCTCACAGCGAGAGGGTGTCCTTCCAGCGCTCGGCGACCGCCTCGCCGCGGAAGACCTCGTGGAGGACCTCCTTGACATCCTCGACGTAGACGAAGTGGATGCCGGTCTTCACGCTCTCGGGCACGTTCTCCTCGATATCCGGGCGGTTGCCCGCGGGCGCAATGATGGTCTTGATCCCCGCCCGGTGTGCGGCGAGGATCTTCTCCTTCAGGCCACCGACGGGGAGAACCATGCCGACCAACGAAATCTCACCCGTCATCGCTTGAGAAAGGAACTTTGAGTCCCAGATGTATAAGAGATATGCGTAATGCGCACTCACCAATGTCGGGGTTGATCTTCGTCTTTGTGAACAAGGAAACGAATGCAGAAAGAAGCGCCGTGCCCGCGCTCGGTCCCTCCTTCCCGATGCTACCCTCGGGCATGTGAACATGGATATCCTTATCGGTGAGGAATAGCTCGTCTGGGGTCTTCGTAATACCGAGTTCGTAGGCGTGGCTCTTAACCCACGAAAGGGCGATTTGAGCGCTTTCCTTGATGACCTCGCCGAGCTTGCCGGTGAGTTGGATATGACCCTTGCCCGGCATTGCCTGTTCGAACGGCGGTTTCAACACAAAGCTCAAAGACGCTAGGCGTGAAGAAGCGTACCAGAGCCTCAATGGGCATAACAGCACCGGATCCGTTGCCGAGGTATCCAAGACCAGTGCTAACACCGGCAGGCGGCGACTGGACGTACAGGCGGTCTTTGTGGTAAACCGGCGGTCCAACATAATCCTTCAGGTTTTCCGGGGTGATGTGGACGTGTACGGTTTCGGGCACCTTCATTGGTTTGCGCTCAACAGTCGTCACGCCACGCTCGTGGTCGGCCTTCTCTTCCGCAGAGGTGTGTGGGGTGGAAGTTTCAGGGGCTCCAGGATGGTCAGGAGGCGGGTCCTGCTTCTCGACTGTCGCTGCCTTCGCAGAGTCATCCGCCGGCTTGTCCGTGTCCGCAGATGCAGCCTCGACTGCGGGGACCGGGGCAGGTTCGGGGAACACTTCCTCGCCGAGATCCTGCACGATCTTTAACGCAGCCTTGCGGTATATCTGTGCCAATGATTAACAAGCCGTCCAGCCATCGCGTGTGAAGCCTACCTTGTCGATGTGCTTCTTCAGGTTGCGCACTCCACTTTCACGGCAATAGTACTTGATGAGGGTATCAACAGCACTTGGCTCAAGCTCGACATCGGCTTCCTTCAGACCGGCGGCCTCCTTCGCCTGGGGGCCGAGGTACTTGGAAGCAATTTGCGCCTTCTCCTCGGAGACATAGCCGCTGACTTCGAGAACTTCCATACGATCCAGCAAGGGTGCCGGGATTGTGTCGAGCATATTGGCTACAAAGAAATCAACGTAAATTGCGCACCACAACACGCCAGCGTTAAACCTTACCTGTGCAGACGAAGAGCACGCGTGAAAGGTCAACAGGTACGTCCATGCTAGATAGCGGTAAGCTTCACCGGTTGACCAGCAAGACGAAGCACTCACTAATGATCCAGGAACGCCGTGTTCTGCTCAGGGTCCAACATCTCCAGGAGGGCACTCGCGGGGTCTCCGTTATGTCCACGACCAATCTTGTCGACCTCGTCAATCAGGACAAGAGGGTTCTCCGTACCAACGCGCTTCAACGCCTGGATGATCTTTCCCGGGAGGGCCCTAGAGGCCGGTCAGATTGTCTGCCATGACCTGATAGAGTTCTAAACGCATACCCAACGTAGGTGCGCCTGTGACCTTTTATCTCCGCAACGTCGGTCAGACCACCAACGGAGAAGCGGAAGAATTGGCGATCTAGGGCACGGGCGATTGACTTTCCGATGGACGTCTTGCCAACACCCGGAGGACCGACAAGGCAGATAATCTTCCCCTCAACGGTGCCACGGAGCTTGCCGACGGCGAGGAACTCCAGAATGCGGTCTTTGACATCTTTCAAGCCATAGTGGTCCTCGTCCAACACTTGCTGAGCGTGGGCAATCGAGTAGTTCTCGCGCGAGTGCCGTCCCCACGGTATCTACAGTGGTCGTGTGAGTAAACATCTACGACGATTTTAAGGCGTTACTCGCCTGGGTGAGCCATTCCAAGTAATTCCGGGTCACATTCGCCTCCGACGCAGCAGGTTCGAGGTGCTGAAGCTTGTTCAGTTCCTCATCGAAAACCTTTCGAACAGCTTCGGGCATCTTGAGCGACGCTGCCCGCTCCTTGAACTTCTCGATAAGTTTGTCTTTTCCGTCTGACTCCATGCCAAGCTCCTTCTTGATGCCCTTGAGCTGCTCCATGAGATAGTACTCGCGCTGGCGCTTTGCGATCTTGCTGTCCACGTCGCGAGCGAGCTTGCTCTGGAGCTGAGCATTGATGAGCTCCTTCTTCAACACTAGTAGAGCCTTGCGGAGACGTTCTTCGACCACGAGACTTTCCAGGACGTCTTGCAACTCGTTCGGATCGCCGGTGGAGACAGCCGCTGCAAAGTCCGCAAGTTTATCGGGCTCGTCGAAGACATTTGACGCAACCTGGTTAATCGAAAAATTGGCAATCTGGTCCCGGAAAAGAGGATTGAGTTGCGCGATATCCTTGAACACCGAGACGATCTCCGACATGAAAGCGCGGATGTACTGGTCGTCCTTGTTGTACGCTTGTGTCGCGAGATTGTCCACGTTGACCACAGAAACGGAATACTTCTCAAGGAAGGAGGTTTGCATAGTCATCGACGGGCCTTCACGCTCAGGAGGAGGCGTAGGGAGCTGAGCTTCTGACTCGGCGGCAGCTTCCTCCTTTCCGTCCTCGACCGATTCGACTTTCGCAGCCTGGCCATCCTTCACCAGTTCAGTGATCCGGATTCGACGGTGAGGATAGAGGACCGCAGTAAGCCCTTCATCCTTCTCGTCCTCCTTGTTACTTGACGCGGTGAAGACACTGGTGATTTGCGCAAAAACGCCTACGGGATGTACTGAGTTAATGTCTGTGATGATGTCACTGTCCGCATTCTCGTCCTTGAGCAAGAAGGCACCAAGATACGGCTGACCACGGCGCATCATCTCCTTGATTGCCGCAACTACATCGGGATTCCGGATGACGACTGCCTTGTAGAAACCAGGGAAGAGGGGTCGACGAGCGATGGGGAGAGCCAAGACCTGAGGGTACGTTTCCGGAACAGACTGCTTGGATATGGACGTAGACGATGGAGGAGGCGAGTCTGGAGGAGGTGACGGTGGCGGGTCCGACTTGTCCGACCCGTCCCCGGAGGATGATGATGACGATGACGGAGGTGTGGAAGGAGGCGCAGACGCTGGAGGAGCGGCTTGACCGTCTTCTGGGTCGTCCATGCGCACGATATTCTGAGAATTTGCCTCCTCCGGTGTGTCACTCGACCGCTGATCAGCCGGTGTACCGGGTTTAGCGGTGTTGACCCAACGCGGTAGGCGGGCTACGGCGGTGGGCGCGCAATCCGTGACCGTAGACGAGTAGAACGTACGGCGTGATGCCCTCGACGCATACATGGCCCCTCGCGATGGCCCAGCGAGTGCTGACTGCATCATCCATCTGGAAGGACCCGGGTCGCAGAACCGACGACTACATGACCGGGTAGAGGAGCCTGCTGCTGCTCGTATGCTTCCGAATATGTTCATGCGCACCGCGGGTCGTAAAGAGCAACCTGCCTGAGGCGATGGGTGGTGCCAGGCGGAATAAAAGGAGAGAACGTGGCAGAACGGAGGAAGGGGGTGAGGAGGAGATGAGCAAATCGCTGAGCAAGATGCGTCAGACGGTACCGGCGCTGTGACGCGTCACTGAGATTGAACGAGTCAGCGTTATCTGATAAGATTAGATGCGGTCCACTCCCAAACCACTTTCAAGATAAGATCAGATTTATTCCTTGTGTCTCAACCCCCGATGTGGGAGACAACGGACCCCTTTACGTTACCACGGTACAGTCGACGCATTCACTCTGGTCGGCGCACCCCTTGCTGCTCATCAACTGTACTTCACCTATGTTACCCTTTCTGTAATACCCAGCTGATGCAATGTCCGGAAAAATCGCGTCCATGGCCCGAAATGCCGAAAAGAACAATGACAAGCTGTTCCCGATATTCCAAAAGAACCTCTCGAGCGATACCCTCCCGGAATTTGCCACGACTGCACATAAATTGGCTGGATGGCTCAACAGTGACAAGGCCTACTACGCGAACGCCCGGCATAAGGTAAGTCACCGATCTATCGTCTGATGTCCTGGTGTTGAAGTGCCCGTGCAAGATCGTTGACTTAATAGAGGTATGAGAACGCTGACCGCGTTGAGAGCATCTACCAAAATAAAGGCATCAGACAGCCCACGAGACCGTGCGACGGCACAGCGGCTTTCCAGACCAACCTTTGAACATATCCAGATGCTCAAACGAGGCCAGATCGTGGGCGGAGCCGTTTATACAGATTGTGCGGACCGTGGTACCCTTCTTTCCGCTGTTTAC